TTAAATAAAAAAAAATTGACCCAAATTATTAAGTGGGTTGTCGAGAAATTGCAGTCGTAAAAACTTGTAAAAAAAATAATCGACATTGTGTAATTATAAAATTCCGGTGATCACTGGCAGGGGAGTGTACTTTCTATACCGAACTACTATGGAATTTTAAAATTTTGGGTTCGTTATATCTAGAATTTGTTATATGGAGGTTCGTTATTTCCAGAGTCGACTGTATTACTCATGCAAATAAGTGCGTCCCTATACAACTCCTGCGGTAGTCACTACCCTAATAAATGTTTCCATCACTAGTACTTACCTGGTCTTGACCCTAGCGATCAGGATCGATAAATAATATCGATTAGAGTTGTACATACTATCATTTTTTATAAAAGTTACATCTTGTAGGTTGACCTCCTTGCAGATTGGTTCACTGCACGAAAACAACGATCACTGGGTCAAATATTTCATGTCGTAAGTTAACTCCATAGTATTTTATTTTTTCTTAAAATTTATTTTTATATTTGATTTTTTTTTATTATTATAATTAAAAGACTTTATCATAAATAAAATATTTAAATCGCACCAAAAATAAGATATCTATATTACATTACATTGGGTGTTCTCAAGCATCTCAATCAATTAATTAAGTAATGAACATGATGACGTTCAAGCATCACGATCAATGACGATATTTATAGAATTAAATGCTTGAGCATACTCTTTTTCTATTTTTCGTGATCTCGTTATGCCACCTAAAACACCTTAAAAAAAATTTCTACTCAATCGGTTGCCAAAACTTTAAAAGCTTCGAGAATTAAAAATAAAGTGGCTATTTTTTCATATCGGTTAGAAATTTGTTGAGAATTCATTGTTTATTATGTTTGATATGTAAAAAATTAAAAGTAATGCTTAAGCGACCTTAATCAATAGTAAATTTTTGAAGAAAAAAGATGGTTTGTAGCTCGCTGATCCGTTTATCGAAATGGCAGCTCACTTGGTTAATTTATTCAATTTCCGACTATTAAAAATTTGCCTCCGATCCATTGAGTGAGGTGCTTGAGAACACCCATTGTCAATCAATTTGAATTTTTTTGCATATGTTTCTACCATCTTAAACATCTCATCATCTATATTTACATCTTTTCTTTTCAAACCGTTCAAACATCCTCTTGATTTCTTTTTTGTGCTATAATTTAAAATTACTTTTATTAAAATTCTCATCTCATACTCCTCTCTCTCTCTAACCTTTTCTACATATTTTTTTCTAATTAATTCACGAATCTTTTTAAAAAAATTATAAAACATCTTCCATTCAAATTTGAGTCGATTCATTCCTACATTCTCGAACGATTCATCGTCGAACAACCCATCGAACAATTCATCCATATTAGATTGTTTTATGTTAATTTCATCCAAATAAAAAATAAGCAAAAATGAATATGTTATAATGTATTTATAATTGTCCATTTTTTGTAAATTCAATAAAAAATATTTGAACAATTTTATCAAAATAAAGTCGTAATACCACTGATATTCATTCATATCATTCATATGTAACTTGGTAGTGGCAAAACTCTTTCCAACGATTTTATAGAATTTTTTACATTTGGAATTTCCAATATTTCTTTCCACTTCATCTTCGAACCGTTTTACATTAGAAGTATTCCAAATTAAATATACGTTGGCACAAATTCCTACATACACGTAATTAAATATACATGTATTTTTTGAAAAATACTTCGGATATTCCTTCATGTATATAAATCTCACAAAATTCCACGCTTGTTCACGTATCGTTTCGCTCGGCATTTCACTCAACAGATAAAAATGAGTAGTCATATCTCCAAGCTTGATACTAAATCCATAACTTTTAAATTCTTTAATCTTCGTTAATGCTTTTTGGTATCCGTCGTTATCATTAAATAAACATCTAAACAATTGATTGATGACTAACACGTTATAGTCCACAAAAATTTTCTCGTATCCTATCTTCTTGACTTGATTCGCATACTGTGGAAACTTCATCAATAAATCAACGAATTTCATCAATAAATCAACGAAATTGACGTCATTAATTTTCTTTGCGAGTTCATATGAGATCAAATAATCCAAACCAAAACCTTTAATAGAATTTCTTTCACGGATCGGTGGTAAACAAAAAGTCTCTTGGATCAATGATCCATATGATTCATTCATCAATCCCTTCAACATATTACTAAACACATTACATCATTTAATAATCGTTAGATTATTTCGCACATTCAAATCATAAGATATATAACGTTTAATATGTTAATACTAATTACCTGTTCCATTGATCATAATAAGAATTTTTTTTTTTAAAAATGGTCTCGGTCAATAAATTGTATAAAATCTTATTCGTGATCTTAAAATTCTTTAATGACCAATTAAAGGTGTCGAAGATGTCGAAGATGTGGAGATAAAGTCCGATAGTTTCAATAATATGCGGACAACCAAGGGTTAATCCATCCATAGGCTAATCCCACTACTTTTTCTTTATCTTTTTTTTTCTCTTCGATCTCATCTCTTGTTTCATCGGTTTGAATCATCTTTACCTCATCTTCAGAACTTGTGGTTGGTTTAAAAACCTGTCCACCGTTCACATTTCTCGAATTGTAAATATCTATTTTTGGTTCAAGCAAATCGTAAATGTGCGAATCATTATTATTAACAACTTGCCCATCGTTCTCATTTCTCGACTCGCGAGTGTGAGAACATCCGTTTAAAAAAATTTCAATATCGAAAGTTTGATCCGCCATTCCCTTTTTCTCTAAAAAAATATTTATTTTTTTTATACGATTTTTTTTTTAAACAAATCAAACCGATTACAGGATTATAGTAATTTATGCCAGAAATAGGAATTGCAAGAGAGATAGGGCAACTAACGTTAGAGAAGAATGTTTTTAGTTCCAAAAAAAAATTTTTTTCTAATATTGAATTTCTAATAATTCTAACAGTAGAAAGGGGAGTGAAAACAAAAATGAATAGAGAGCACCTATTTATCTCGTAATAATGGAAACAATTTTCCGGTTTTAGCGCTAGAGAGAAATGACTACGCCAGGGCGTAGGATCGATTTTACTGTCAACCAATCAAAACAAACGTTCGCTTTGCAAAAATCGCATTTATCTCAAAATTTAGTCTACTAAACCAACTTTAGGGTCCTAACAAAAAAATTTCCTTGTGCGATTTTGCTACATTTTTGTTCTTCCTAACTTTAACCTAACCTTAACCTAAACTCTAACCCAAGTTTTTATCTTAACAACATTTGTTTTCCGACTATCACGTGATAGTAAAATCGACCCTACACCCTGGCGTAGTCAGAGAAATTGTTATTTTCCTTTAGAGGGGTCGCTGAAGGAGTTTACTTATTTGCGCGAGTATCACAAACCAAAAAAGGAAATCGAATTTCGTAAATAAACTAAGTGCGTAAAGATAAAAGTTTGGGGTTAGGGCATTAATATTAGAGGCTATAACAATAGATTGTTGCTCGTTATAAGTAAAATTTCGTTTCCGAAATTTTTAATTAGTGCACCAAGGTCGTATTTTCGCTTTTTTCTTCCTTCGCACGTGTTCGGAATTCATGTCGGGCCGATCCGGAACAGTCAAATTTTGCGCACTCCGATTGGCCATTGCCTTTTTAGGGGTTGTATTACTCGCGCAAATATGAAGAAAGAGCACGTTCAAAATTACTTATCTTTTGTTAAAGAAAAACCGAAGCACCCTTATGACTTTCATATTTTTCTTGCTATCAAAAGT